CCAAACAAAGTCGTAACAAAAAGCCGCATAAGGCATTCTAATCCATGATTACAAATCAAAGAATTAGAATTTTTCTAATCATGGAATCATGATCGATAACCCTACGAGATAGAAATCGACTGAGCAAATTCTCAAAACTTAAGTACAACCGAACAAATGATCACAAATAAAAAAAAGGCCAAAAGGCCATATTTCATTCATACAAATCCTATTACAAAATTCTTGAGTGTCACCTTAAATACAAATGTAAGAAAAATTATGAATCTACGAATCCTCGGGTCGAGTGTTGGACGAACCACCATACTCCACATTTTCAACCTCAGATTCTTTGTGATGATCAGAGGCAATGGAACGTCATAGAGTTTCTTGAATTTTTTGAGGTTGGAGTACTAGAGATCGACCATTCTTACTTTGGTGCATTCAACAATTGCAATTTTGCAGCATGCCTCCAAGTACTCAACTTAAGTGGCGAGGAGTTCTTCAGTGTTCTCCTCTTAAACCATTGATATCCACTCAGACACTATTTCTACCCTGGCATCCTTTAAGTCTGACTCCGCCTCGACCGCCTTCATAGTAGCTAGCTCCGCCCATTTACGGCACTCCCTGGTCTTCGCCTTAGACTTAGAGACTCTCTCTCTCTCTCTCTCTCTCTCTCTCTCTCTCTCTCTCTCTTAGACAGAAAAAGAGAAGTCAAGTACTGGGTGGAAGCAAAGCCCAAGAGTAGGAAACGGTCCAGCGATTGACTCAACTCAACCAGGCGGAGGTCTTCGAGATGTTGCTCCAAGACAGCCGACCACAAGATGTTGGCAATAGTAGAAGCATATATGGCTGACACCGAGTTCAAGGGAAACCAATCCCTCTCAATATTTATCAGACCTAAAGATGAATCAAAAATCATATAAGCCTTTGGTCATTATGTGGGATCCATAGATATGGACCCCCCCTCCCCTTGTAATTCATTTGAGGTGTTGGGAGAAAAGAATCAGAATCTGAGGTGACAACTTTACCTTTCACTTACGCTCAGCTACCTCGGCAGATTCAGGGCTCTCCTCCAGGTTTTCCTTTGAAACTCCTTCAGACGATCCCCCCGCAACTTGTACAATCAGAGCCGAAGATGACTAGAGGAATTGCCTACTTGCCTCATCTCTCTCTGATAAAGGGATGAGGCGTGTGGTCGAAGGCCGGAAGACCTACTGTGTTGAGGGACGGTCGAAAGACACCTCAATGTCTGATCGAAAGTATGACAGAGTTGCATCATATCTTAAATCATCTAAGACCACCGGAGGTTTCCGTTTGATCAATATTAATTCAACATTGACTATATTTTGGATAACCGTGGAAGTTTTGAAAACAAAGTGAACTAAATTTGAACCTGGAACTTGACCCCTTGAAGGGTCACCTTCTTTGGCCTCTTCTTATGTCGCTCTTACGGGAGAGCCACCGGCTTTCTTCCTCTTTCTTGGTACCTTCTTGAAGAGTCAGGCAACTTTCTCTGGCTGCCTTCTCTCCTCTGCTCCATCAAAGGCGGCCCACTTCTCATGTATCATCAAGTCGTATTGACTCATGTTCAACACATAATTCACAGTCATGGTGCTAGTGTACTGAACCACCGATAATTACTTATCGAGAATGACATGCTCCATTACCTTCAGTCGGGGAGAGATTCCTTTACTTTTCTTGTAGGGGCCACCGGTCGCTTTAGTTGGAATACCCCAATCGTTGCAGTTCCAATTCTTTATTTTCTTTTCCAAGTTGATTAGGTGAAAAATTTGTGTGGTGTTGAAGACTTACTGCAAACACATCCGTCTCAACCCGAAAAGAGAATATGTGTAAGAATAGCTCTCTAAACCATGGAACCTCTATTATACACAGGGGGATCACATAGGTCATTACCGTGACAATAGAGTTCAGCTTCACCTGGGTTGGTATCACTCTGTAGTAGTTGAAAAATGAACGGAGCTCCATGCACAAGTGCAACTGAGGCCCACATCAGAATTAATCTCATCAGAGGGTACATTACCGTAATATGACATACAACATTCTTCCAATTGATGAGCCTATATAAAAGAATACTTTCTTTGTGGTTGTTGAACTTTCTAATGCCAGACGCCCATTGAGTAATCGTCAACAAGGGGTGCGATGTTCTTTGGTTTGATCAAACTTTCATTTGTTCGGCTTAAGATTCAGACGATTGATACAATGATGAATATTCACACTTCTGCTTCTTTTCTTGTGTGATCTGTTAGATCTCCTCGAGATTCGTTCAACCATATTTTTTATGTACATAATTAGTTCATTGATTCTCTTACTTCTTTGAAAGCAACAATTGTCATATGAATAAGAAAATTAAATAATAAATATTGCTAATAATTGTACTCCCTAGATTTTCGTGCTTATTTTTCCTATAAGTAAGACATGATCAACATTTTTGTCACCATTTCCAGCATGTTCTATCCTTCAGTCATTTATACTTGTGAACAGAGATGTCAGTTGCCAAGAGACAAGTGAGCGAAGAAGAGCTAATGAGGGTTTTTGTGCTCACTACTTCGAAGGCTTGCCCTTCTGGGAATGAGAGGAAAAAAAAACCTGAACGTTCTCATTCGGTCTTAAATAAGAGAGTTGGCGAGGAAGACCAGCCGACTGAGAAAAGGTCAGGAGATGAGAGGAAGATAGCTAGCACCAAAAGGTCGGTCGAGAGACCAGGCCTAAGGGATCTAAAACAATCGACGGTGAAGAAGTCGCGGGTAGAAGGGTTGGAGAATCATTCAACTCGTTACCACTGTTTGAGGTTCGGTATGGAGGGTGGATTTCAGATGCCCCTATTTTAGCTCCTGAGCCACTTCGCCAACTCTCGACTCAACTATCGTCCCAGAAGCAGGGGCAAATGGTGAAGAGTGTGCAAGTTCTGCCACCTGAGTTCACTTTGATTCAACCTCCGGCTGGGGAGGTTGCTCAGGGTTTCACAGTAGGGGATTTAGTCTAGCTGGAGAACATCGAAGATGAAGCCCCGCCAATTGAAGACGCCCCCTCTCCCGCCTTTAGCCGAAGGGGTATCCAAGGTGGTGCCCCTGCACCCGCTGCCGAAAGTTTTCATACATCGAAGTTAGAGCGCATGATTGGTAAACTAGATTTCTCTTATTAGATCCTTAAATCTATTCTTATAACACCGACTCTGTTGCTGCAGAGGGGACCGTGGTGATCATTGACTCCAAGTCCACAATAGTCAAGCATATTCCCAAGCTAGAGGCATCTGCTGGTCATTCTGCTTCTACAGTGGCTGAAGTGGTGTTCGTCCTACCACCTTTTTTTGCTCCACCTCCCCCCTTCAACTGCTCCAAAGAGGGAAACAAACGACCAAATGGGGTTCGATGAGTCGTTGGTCCGGCGCATGGACAAAACTATGGACTCTTTTATCCAAGTTGTGGGCCTTCAAAGAGAGGTCACTTATCAGACTTGAGGGAGGAATGACAGTTCTCTATGATGGTATGTAGGATCTTCGGGCAGAGGCGTCGAATCTCCAAACGAACTAGCAGAAGTTCAGGTGGACAGCTCAATTTCTTGTGTCTGAACGAAGGAGGAAAAAATAGAAAAGTACAAGTTTGGGGGGTGTGCATTGTACACAAGTCTATTGAGTTGGGATTTAGTCCTGCCCCTCGGGCGGACAACCCTGCTGTAAAATATATCTTTTATAAATAAAATTTTGCACAATTTTTGAAATCATTGTACCCTCGATTTTTGCGCATATGTGACTCTTTAGCGAAGCCCGATGAGGCGTATTGACTTCATATATATAGGGTTGGACGGAAATTAAGAGAAACTTTACATTTTTCTCTTTTCTTACCCTTGGGTCGATTTCTCTTCAGAGTCCAATGGCTTCCAAATACTCCCCTCAGATAATCAATTCCATCAGGTTGACCGAGAGATCAATCCTGACTGAATTTGATGTTCAACTGTTGGATGAGACTTGTGTGTATGACACAAGTAACATTCTTGAGCGAATTGGAGTGGACGTCTGAGCTACCATTACCTCGATGACGCTTTGATCTTCTGATGGAACAACCCTTCTAAAGGACAGGAAGCTTTTGTAATAATTTCTATGGAGAAGGCGAGTATAGGTCATTCGGTCAACCGATCAACTTTTGGCCGACGAAATGAACACAAAGTAATCAGACCATATGATTACAAACACGAAACGGTGTCAAATATAATTATAAACATGGAACGATAGCAACAGTGATTCCAATGTCAAAGTATGTCACAATTAGTTACAATATATAAAGGTGAAATGACTCGTAAATGACTGTAATGTTCACATTAAAGAAGAAACAACCATATAATTTGATATACTCTTCCTATGAATTATAAATAAAATGGTTATTTTATGAAAGTGGACTATTGGAAATTCGCAAAGATTCAATTTTACTTGGGTCTCAGTTTTCTCCTACTCTCTTTTCTCTCATCGGACCAACGCTCAATTCATTGGGCGTGATCCACATGACTTTTTGGGATTCAGCAATATATATATATATATATATATATATATAGTCATATCAAATTAATTAAAATAGACAAGATTACAGTAATCATCATGATTTCATGTTTTCTCACAGATAAGGTCCCTAGAAATGTTGATATCACAATTCCATTCGTTACTCGGATAAAATTTAAAAAGCTAGGTCAAGATCTTATGAGGAGGAAGTCCACAATAACTAAACTTGAATCGATTTTATTCTAATTTCAATTTTCTTGTTCTTTTGTCCATAAAATTGATGGAGAAAAGCTTTAATGACTGTTTTAGACTTCTCAATGCCAACACTATCAGTTAAAGCTGGCATTAAATAGCGATATTGGCTATAAAAAAACTCCAAAATGCTCTTATATAAAACTTTCATACACCAATATTTATCCATTGAAATGACAAAGTGGATGGTAAGACCAACTTGGTGAGTAGAGAGATTAAATTCAATACCTGAAATAACTTCAGACCAAAATAGGCACAATTAAAAAGTCTCCGAACCATTCTAATAATTTTCTTCTCCCATTAATCTGTTATCCCTCTACATGCAGATATGCCCAATTATTGCAAAAAAAATACAAACACAAAGATTGCAAAGTAACAGTAGGTTTTAATCTGTCTTGATGTAATACCAGTTCTAAGCTTCCAGACAGATTTAACCAGCAACAGAAACCTGACCATCAATTCAAACTCAATGATTCACATATGTTGTGCAAGATACAGCTGCTAAGATCTATGTTGGAAGAACCATATCAATCAGCAAGAATATTGATAGCAATAATCCTAGTGAAAATGAAAAGAAGTAGAAAGGAATATCAATTTATAATGAAGAAAAGAAGTAAACAACTGTCCTGATGTACTTTTGCGGGTGAATCCGATATAATTATGGTAAAGAATTTGTGTTATCAAGTTCTAGGAGATAGCATTAGTCAGCAGGTTTGCATCGTAATCAAGAAGATGGCAGGTGTTACAAATGCTTTGTAGGGTAGGTCTGAAAATCAGGTTTTGTTTTGTCAGCAGGATTTGTAATTAAGGAAAAGAAAAAAAACAGCAAACTTCTGCTGCTCTTGCTAAAACAGACCAACGCTCCAGAACTTGTACTTTATCAATTTGTACCATATGTATATATGAAAAAGCACATACCTTTGTCTTTCAAGAGTTTCAAGCTGCAATCTCTTATGGTACCTTCATTGAATGCATTTGCCTGCCATATTAATAATGAACACCATTAAACGACTTATTACTATCTCAACTATGAAAGTGAAATTTATAGCCAGGCTTGTGTGAATGTTATAATTTTGGTATCATCTAGTCAATTCCGTAACTATGCATGGCCTTTTTATATAGACGGTTTCGATGAATTGATAACTAAAAATAATTTATCAGCAGGTATAATAAGCCTTTTTATTTTTTATAATAAGCCTTTAAATATCTTCTGATTCTTCATTTTATTTCCTATGCATTCCAGCACAAATATACTAAAGCCCTTAAGAAATCAATTAATTCAAAGCAGCCAGCAATGTAAGATGAATGTTGCCTAGTTGAGGAAAAAATATTACATGAGTTTGAACGTAGCTCTGTGTCCGGACTCCAATGATATTTCGCCACCTGTAAAGTGCTCTATCCACTGAAAGTAATAAATAAAAAAAAACGAAAAAGGTGTTCATATTGTTATTTTATTGGAGTGGTATTGTGGTTGTATTGTGGTAATATTGTGATGTTATTCTAGTTGTATTGTGATATTATTGGAATGGTATTATAATTGTATTGTGGTGTTATTGTGGTGGTGTTAATATTAATTGAGGCGTGGATATGTAAAATCAGCCGTAGCACAAAATTTTTCAAGTACCAACGCTGATCAAAACACAAAGAGTTCAGAAAATGTACATGCAAGGCACAAAACCCTTATTTATTTACTGATCTTACACTTGCACAACTAATATTAACTTTTTTAATAGAAATACATCTCTTTATGCATAAATTTTAACGTGTTTGCGAGTTGCAACACTAAATTGATTGTTAAATAAACATCACAATTAGGCACTCAGCAAATGCTAATGCTCCAGAATTGGATTTTGCTCCCCACATACTCCAGCTTCTTTAAGCTATTGCTGAATCAAAAGAGAATCAATATTACGCTTTCCTTCTGGACCTTTTCCATACCAAGATGATACATAGTCACCATATAGAACCTCACGGTACTTGAGTGGTGACTCCTCTGTGACAAGCTGAAGAGCAGGAGAGATTTTTCGAGTCTTTGCAGGATCGTAGAATGTTGCAATGGAGATCCGTGCTCGATGAGCATTGACAATGGCGCGATGTATTGCGCTCTTATATTTACCATTGGTTAGAATCTGCAGGTAAAAGAGAGAGTAGATGAGTTTTTAGGAGAGTTGATATCGGTTGATAGTTAAGCTCGCATATCTAAAATTATATAATACAAAAAAGAAACTGAAGTTTTGTTTGAGAGAGAGGTGAAATTCCGTTTGGTTGGAGTGAACGTTGACGCCTATAAATTTTTTTGTTCGTTGAAGCAGCGGAAGACGAACGACTCCCGCAGTTCTTTTGGGAGAACAAAAAATTTTCACCCATTCAGATCACACCTGGCCTGCTCCAGTTTGACGAATGCAACTTCAAACGAAGCCTAAGTTTACCAAAACTTTCAAGATAAAGTGGTAAAGTTTTTTATTTCTAAAATTTAGGTCTCATTTTTTAGTCTAGCTGATGACCTTTTTTTAACTAAGTTGGAAAATGGGTAAAATCTAATTCAAACTTATGGAGTGAAATGCAACCAAAAATATAATTAAGGGGCTTCGACTATACTTTCTGGTTTCTAACATAGAGATATAGACACCAATCTCAAGTCTCAACAGATGTATTAACGATGATTCTCTAGATTTGATGTAAGATTTGCCTTGTGAGCTCCTTATAATTATAACCAGATTTATGCCTACCTTATATTTCTACTGACCTTGAGCCACCCGTGAAATATTGGATATATTGGTACAATTAAAAGAAAAAAAAAACAAGAGAAGAAGATATGTGCATAAAAAAACATCAAAAAAAATATTCCTACAAGTTATTCTTGTCACTAGACGTCGGTGTAGGCTTCACAATGATTAATTGTGAAGAATCACAACTTCAGTTTCTCTCAACCACCCTTAATGACAAAAAAAATTGAGTAAAGTGCCAAAATAATCCCCTGACTGTTTACATGAGATCATTTTAGTGTCAATCTATAAAAATATTAAACTAGTCCCAGGACTCTTTAAATTGAAGCTGAAATAGTACTCCATGAAAACTATTTCAACCCATAAAGAGTCTGGATACTAAATTGCACTTTATAGACTCTAGGACTAAAATGATTTTTAAAGAGTTAGGGGACTATTTTGACATTTTTCTCCCAAAAAATGTGACATTTGAAAATACAATCGAATTTCCAAAATGCCTTGATGAAATAAGGCTTCTTGACTAAGTTTGCGTACTGCATATACATACAATAAGCAGAAATGTGAAAGCAAATGATAAAAAAATACCTCAGTTTGATCACCCAAAATAACGATAATGGCATCCGATAAAGGTTTTGCTAGCACCCACTCCCCATCCTTCAATATCTCAAGACCTCCGACATCATCTTGTATTAGAAATGTTATCGCACCCATGTCAGAATGGGATTGCAGACCGAGAGCGAGCTCTGGTTGTGGACAGGGAGAGTAATAGCTGATGGTTATATTCTGGTAAACTTCTCCAATTGTATCTTCAATAAATAAATGTGGCAAATTTAGGCTTTCAGAAATCATGCTCAGTAGCCTTTGAGCAAGAAATTTCATGTTGTTACTATATTCCAGGACAACATCCCTGTAAAATGACAATCAGGTTCGCTAGTATTTTAAATTTCACACTAACTAGAGTTCGTTCTAAATTCTTGCTTTCCACAAACACAAGTAGCATTTAAACCTCAAAGTCACTGCAAGAGAAAAATTCCAAAACATTTGAAGCTAACTAGGTGTCATGTAACAGATTTTAAATGTAAAGAAAGAGCCATGAGAAAATAATAAAGTAACAAAATTTCTTAAGGGTCCCTTTAGCTCAGGACTATTTGAATTTAATTGAGGATTAACTATCACTACGACTATTCAATATTGGAAGACTAGACCTTCCATATGTATGGTATGTAAGGAAATTAGTCTGGCCTAAGGTTTTAACTAAAGATGCAAGATGACCTGAGGAAATACTAAAGAGCAAAATGAACTTCAATGTGGGCTTAGAGATAAAAGTGAATAAGATTACAATTTCTAATGATCGCAAAGAAATGTGTGGTTTATCTGATTATTTTAAGAGATGTTAACTGGCTAAGAAAAGATTAACATGCACCATAAACTAAATAGTTGATTACAACAACAAGCCTTTATCCCACTAAGTGGGGCGGCTATATGTTCTCCATTGCGTCCTACTGAATGTCATATTATCATTTAATTCTAATAAATTAAGATCATTTTTTATACAATATGCCCAAGTCTTTCTAGATCTACATCTACATTTCTTAACATGAGTCGAGTCTAAAACATCTACTGTCCTAACCGTATCATCAGATGGTTGACGTTTAATGTAACCAAACCATCTAAGACGACTATCTAATTTTGTCCACCACTGGAGCTACACCAACCCTATCACAGATATATTTATTTCGTATTTTGCTCTAAGTGTCAAGCCACTCATCCACTTAAGTAAGTGTCAAGCCACTCATCCACGCCACTCATCCACTTAAGCATTCTCATCTCGGCAAAACTTTAACTTTGTTTTATTCTTCTCTTTTAAAGGCCACCATTCTGCGCCATAGAGCATTACAGATCTCACTACCATCTTATAAAATTTTTCTTTCAGTCTAAGCGGTACTTTTCTGTCACACAATAAGCCTGAAGCATTCCTCCAATTTAACCGACCAACTGAAATTCTACTAATAACATCCCCATCTATATCACCATCACTTTGAACAATAGATTCCAGATATCTAAAGCGTTCACAGTTTTTAATGATTTGATCACTCATAGTTACAACTTTGTCACTAGAGCTACTACTACTAAAATTATATTCCATGTAATCAGTTTTAGTTCTTTTAGTTCTACTCAAATGAATTCAAATGAAGGCCTTTAGACTCCAACGTAGACCTTCGTAATTCAAGTTTTTCCTAAACTCTTTTTCTAATCTTATCCACAAGAAGGATATCATCAGCCAAAAGCATACACCAAGGTACATCATCCTGTAAATGTCTAGTAAGAGCATCAATTACTAAAGCAAAATGATATGGGCTTAAAGTCGATCCCTGATGTAATCCAACTAAAATAGGAAAATATTTGGTCAATCCTCATTTTGTTCGAACACAAGTAACAGCTCCAGTATACATATCTTTAATGACTTGAATATAAGTCATATCAACACATTTCTTCTCTAGAACTCCCAAAAGGATTTCTCTTGAAACCTTATCTTAAGTTTTTTCTAAATCAATAAGAATCATATGTAGATCATCCTTATTCTCTCAGTACTTCTCCATCAAAACTCTCAATAAATGTATAGCTTCCATAGTTAGACCTGCCCGACATAAATCCAAATTAATTTTGAGAAACCTTCATAACATGTCTTAACCTATATTCAATTACCCTCTCGCATAATTTTGAAGTATGACACATCAACTTAATTCCTCTATAATTTGCACATTCTTGAGTTCCTCTATAATTTGCACACTCTTGTGCATCCCTTGTATTCTTAAAAATGAGGACCCAAATACTCTTCCTCCACTCCTCACAAATCATTTTAGTTTTTAAAATAATATTAAAGAGTTTAGTAAGTCAAGAAATTCTCAAATCTCCTATCAAATCTCCTAAATAAATCTCCTAAATATTTTCACACTTCAATTGGGATATCATCAGGTCCTATTGATTTTTCACTCTTAGTTTTCTTTGAAGTGTTCTCAACTTCTTTTTTACTGATGCAACGATAAAAAAAAATTATTATTATTAACAAAATTAATATTAATAAAATCGATTGTATTTTCAGAAACTTCGTTGAAAATTTTATCAAAATAGCTTACCCACCTATGTTCAATATCTTCCTATAAGAAGAACACCTTTTGTTTTCTTCTTTAATACACTTTACCTTAGTTAAATCTTTATTTTTTTCTCTTTATCTGACTAATTTTTACATATATTTTCACCTTCTTTAGTATCTAATCTGTTATAAAGATCACTAAAAGTAGAATAGTTAGCGTAACAAATCACTCTCTTAGACTCTCTATGGGATACCTTATATTTTTTTCAGTTCTCTAAATTTTTACATTTGAACACACTTCTTATATTTTAAATTTTCTAGCACATTATTATTTCAACACCAACTATTTTTATTTATAAATTTTTTTCCTTTTGATTCTTCATGTATATCTTTTATCACTGGTTTATTAGTATTTGCTACTTTATCCCACATAGAATCTGCTTCTTCATGGACATTTCAAGTCTTGAAATCTTGAAGTTTACTCATAAAAATAATTTTATTTGTATTTTAGGTACCTTCATCCAATTCCATGACAATGATTTTTAATATTCTTTATCTTATAATTCTTCGTCTTAAAATCCAGAACAAATAAATGACGTTGAGTACTTATACTCACTTGGAATGACCTTACAATCTTTACATTCTCAACGATCTCTTCTTCTCATAAAAAAAATAATAAATTTGTGTTTTATTAAATTCATTTGTATAAGTAATAATATGCTCCTCTTTTCTTAAATAAAGTATTAGCAAAAACAAAATCATAAGCTAAAACAAAATCTAATATGATTCTATCTTTTTCATTAATCATTTCAAAATTGTAGCCACCATGAATATTTCTAAAATCTTCTAAACACCCTACCAATATGTCCATTTAAATCTCCTACAATAAAAATTCTTTCTTCAATAGGTATCATTTGCATTAATTTTTCTAGGACATTCCATAATATTACTTTAGAATGTATATCTAGACCTACTAGAGAAGCATAAGCGCTTATAACATTAAAAATTTTAGTATCAACAACAATCTTAAGGGTTATAATTCTATCTTCAATTCCATTAATTGTTACAATATTATCTTTCAAACTTTTATCTATAATTACACATACACCATTACTAGTACGACTCCGACCTGAATACCAAAATTTAAAACCTAAGTTATCACACCGTAGCCTTTTCTCCAACATATTTAGTTACTTCAATATAAAATATATTTATCTTCCTATGGACCATATAGTGCGCCGGTTCCAAAAGATGTCCCATCATTTACACAAAGATCTAAGAATTCATGTCATGATTTTTCAACAAGTTTTATGTTGATTGTCGACTACCTAACGCAATCCTTCACTTTCATATCTGGGGCTTGAGACTCGATAATGGCAGTGTTGGGTTCTATTAATTTTGATAAAAAATAAATTTTAAGAAATATGAGATAGCATCCGTCTTAAACTCGTAAAGGAAACCCAAAAATAATGAGACCAGTCATCAATAAAAGATATATAGAATTTGAAATATTATTTAGAAGTTATAGTGGAAGGAACCCATAAATGAGTATGAATAAGAGTAAGAGTAATAGCACGATGTTGAGATGAAGTAAATTAGAGACTATGGCTTTTCACCATCTTACGAAATTGAGAAAATGAAACATCTGGGTGTTTACATAAAGAAAATATGCCTAGGTAGAATTGAAAAGGTGGCAAAAGATGGGTGTCCAAGGTGATCGTGCCAAGTTGTTGAAGTGATAGAAAAAGAATGTGAAGCATCTACAATTCAACTTGGGGGAGGTTTAGGAAATAGTCAAAAAGGATGTGGTCTGCTATGGTTGGGTCCTTGGAGAACAATACTATTGCTTGTCAAGACCTTGATGGTAAAACTGGAGGCATCAAAGACTGACACATTTCTTATCTAAAACAAGCTTGTGGACTGAAAGCAAATTATGAGAGAGTTTGGAAACATGATATAGAGGGAATGGATATAGCTTAGGAGATGGGGCTGGTGAAAGACTTAGTCCCATATTCACAATCGGAACGGTTTGCCCATTTCTAACAGTCGCTTGATTAGTTCCAAAATAAGGAGGGAGATTAGTAACTTGACTTGCATCAATGGTTAAGTAAGATGTTGCTACTGTAGCAAGCAGCCAGTTGGCGATGGTGAGGGAAAGGCTAGCATACCTGGCCTTGGTGTTTGAGAATGATGGAGTAATGTAAATTGGTTAAATGCCAAATTTAAGTGCAAAAAAGCCCAAAATTCCCACAGATTTGACACGCGATCAAAGAGTGAGTGTGACAATGTCCACGATCTTTATGGCAAACAAATCAACCTGGAGTACCTCAGCCTTTACGACGACCACATTGAGTAACTAGGGCTGCTGCTCATCCGAATTGGGATCTTGCAGATTTTCTCCAGTGGCTTCATTGAGTTGGTTTGCTTCTTCACTGCATAATAAATAGAATGGATCATCAAAACTGAAGGCAGGCCATTTAGAGTATAGAAGACGATACCTTCCATATCGAGAGGGGTTCCTAATGTAGCAATCGAATCAACTTTGACTTTGATTTCAGAAAGTGATTGTGTCATGATTTAAGTTCTCCATGAAAATGAGGCAAACTCTATTTGAGGAATGAAGATGGCAATCAAGATTGAGCCAGATAACAGCACAAGTATCCAGATTAAAAACATATGGCAAAAGAGGGGGAAAAAGTAAAATTGATAGCAAAGGCAAGATTTTTATCTGTGAGAAGCCATAGATTATGCAGGGGATTGAGAATGGTTGTGCCATCTTCAGTGAGAGTAGCAGCAGCAGGGCAAACCGTGGTGCCATCCAAATATCCTTCAAATCCATAGGATCAAAACAATTAAGCAATTGAGATTTCTAGGTGGCGTAGTTAACAGCTGTTAGCTAAGTTTGCCTTAGATAGTAGCAGAAGATATAGCTGGCATGGATAGAGATGTCACTCATTTTGAATGGACGAGTGCGGATAGAATGAGAGAAAATAGTAGTGGAAGATGAGGATCCGTGCATAATGAACAAAGGGGAGGCAGGACAATAATGTTCAGAACAGAACATTTTTAATATCTGGTGCAGCTGAGAGGATCATTTTTCCATAGAGCAATCTGCAATACCATCAAACGACCTATATGAAACTGACAGAAACCAGAAGCTAAGAACAATTGAGATTTCCAAGTAGTAGAATCCTGGAGCAAAAGAGTTCAACATTTGTATTGCCTTGAGGTAGGCATATTTATGAAACAGTTTCAGGTATTGTAAAGTTAGTTATGAATGCATGGCTGGATGTTATAGGCCTAGCCACATGTATTAAGTATAGCAAGGATATAAAACGCACAGTGAGTACAGAGAAGTTCAAATCAGACAAGCGATCCATACTGTAGCAACTGAATTACAGCAGCTAACAGATAAAGCATTTATGAAATGGTTTCATTTACTCGGAATATAGTTGTTTAGCACTCATGAACCTGATATCCAACATATTTCCGAACCAAACTGTTGGCAGATGTTCCACTTAGTTAAATATTAAAGATAACTGCTAATACCAGTAGAAATATTTTGAAAAAACTTATGAACTAAAGCATAAAGAACGGCTTGAGAATCATGAAGGTCCAATTCTGTAGCCGGCCAGACTTATCCAACGGTGCACAACATTTATTCAGTACGCAATTCAATCAGAAGGAAGTTGAAATTGGATTTTAATTGGGCATATATAATTTACAGGTTCAAATAAAAATTCAAAAAGCATAACTAAAGTTTCTAGATTAAGGAAGCTGGAACATAAAAAAGCTTCAATGAGTATGGAAGAAACAAAATATTCCCTTGGTGTGCAGGAAATCAACGTTGATCCAATCAGCTTGAAAAATTGACTTTCTTTTTATTGCAAAATTACACAAACCTGTAATTTTCTGGAAAATCAGGCCAGCGGCTGGGATTCCTCCGAGTCTCTGGCAAGGTATGATGATCGAAATAGTCCCTCCAATCTAGCACCCCTTCCTCCTTGGACAGCATCCGGCTTCCATACCCCTCCGTCGCTGCAGATCCAGGATCGCACGCGTACTGTAGTTTGTCCTCTGTGGGCAAGTGAAAGAAGCGAAGACCAACCTCCTTCATTTCGTTAAGTACTCGCGACGGCACGCCATGGTTCACCACATGGAAGGCTCCCCATTCACTGCAGAGGTGCCGTAGGTGAGAAACAGGATTCATGGAGGGATCAAGATCGAGAACAGGGAAGCTGCCGGATTCCACGGCCGCCTCCATGTGGCGAAGACGATCCGGCCGGAGCTCTGGAGGCTGGATGTATTGGGAAGGCAGGTAGGAGAGACCTGCCTCTGCAAGTGCCTGCACACGTTGTGCTACCATGGAGCAAAAGAGAGGCGAGACAGAGAAGAGCAAGAAGAGGAGTTCGTTAGGGTTTCAGCAAAAAGGAGTGAGGGAGACTGTGAGGAAAGCTTAGGTTAGGGTTTTGGCTAAGGTAGTGCAGGAGAGTGTTATGAATTTTAGGGTCTCTTTGAGAGAAAATTTTACATCTGAAATCCGGACGTAGTTTTGCATGCAGACTCCAGTAATATGTAGTCATGTGTGCTATAGCGGACCCATCTAAAAAATATTAAAGTGAAACCGCTGAGATTATTGGAGTGAAACCGCAGATGTTATTGAGAAAGTCATTGCGGGGTTATTGAGACATTAACTCCAATAACGTCGCAATAACCCTTAAAGAACCTCCCAATAACCTCCGCAGTTTCACATCAATAACCCCTGGCAATAACTCTCACAATCATCCCCCAATAACCTTCATTGTTTCACTTCAATAACTCATGCATTAACCCTTGCAATGCATGTAAAATGTTCTCCATTAGTTTTTTTAACAAGCATTCATTCACCAATCAATCTTTACTTACATTATGACACGTTGCTTTAACCCATCTGACTTTCTTCTACTGCATAGATCTTTTAATCATCATTTTTGTCATATAATCTTTATATATTTAGTGTTGTATTGAGAAATGAAATTATTTTTACTCAGTTTGAGTTGGTTGTGAACTACAGTGGAGCCAATTTTATATCTGGAGTCCGGACGTAATTTTAAGTGCAGACTCCGGTAATATGTCGTCATATGTGCTATATCGAACCCACCTAAAAGATATTAAAGTGAAACCGCTGATATTATTGGAGTGGAACCGCGAATGTTCTTTAGAAGATTATTGTAGGGTTATTGATGCATTAACTCCAATAATATTGCAATAACTCTTCAAAAACATCTCAATAATATTCGCGGTTTCACTGCAATAACTCCCCAATAACCTTTGTGGTTTCACATCAATAACCCCCGGCAATAACCCCCGCAATCACCTCCAATAACTTTCATTGTTCCACTTCAATAACTCATGCATTAACCCTTGCAATGCATGTAGAATGTTCTCCACTAGTTTTTGAATAAGCATTCATTAACCAATCAATCTTTACTTACATTATGACACATTGCTTTAAACCATTTGACTTTCTTCTGCTGTAGAGATCTTTTAATCATCATTTTTACGTCTTAATCTTTATATATTTAGTGTTGTATTGAGAAATGGAATCATTTTTGCTCGGTTTGAGTTGATTATGAACTAGAGTAGAGTCAATTTTATGAATTCTGGAAACAGAAAAGCGTGAGAGATTATATGATAAGTTCAATTGGTTGTGCCACATGATTGGAATTAATGCATGGTTAGAAAACTCTTGTTCCTGTATAACCCTCTGGTTTAATGTAAGGTCATTCCTTAGATCACCTAAAACTCTTGGCTGTGTATTTTTTATATGGAAGATTTACATACATAACACTCAATTCCTAAGTTTTTACATATCTAACACCCAAACTTCAATTTTTACATATTTGTAATTATGCATGAAAGTGTGTATCTTACTTTTTTTAAATTTAAAATGGTGATGTTTTTTATGTGATATGAAATATAAAATTTAAAATGGTGATGTTTTTGATGTGATATGAAATATTTAGGTGGTATAAATGTAAAAAATAAAATTTTGGTGTTAGATACATGAATTCATAAGAATTGGGTGGTATGTTTGTAATGCCGCCTTTTATATATATATATATATGACGACCTTTACATTTACGTGAAGGTTTTTCCTCTGTATATAAAATTGTACAATACTAATGTTATGCTTTAATTTTTTTTTATTTTTAATTTAATCTACCTCACTCTATAAGTGCTCGAAGACCAAGATCAGGAGAGAATTTTACGTCCGGACGGCCAACTGCTGGATGCCACTTCGCCATACACGTCGGCGCTGGGCAACGTGACGCCCAGCGGTTGACCTTTCGGACATGCGGACGTGCGGACGTCCAGACGTAATATTTTTTTCCAAGATCAGACGATTTGGATTTTGGATGCAATTAATCGACTTCCATTTTTAAATAATTCATACATAGAGACATCTTCTGTGCATTTTAATTACTTAAAATTTGGTATTTCACTTAACATGGAATCTATTATTGAATTAAGGTTTCATTTCACACCTAATTTAGATGTAAAATGATTTCTCAAACATCATAATTTTATCAATCTTATTGTTAATTGTTGCTTTCTGGTTGTTGATGCTGATTTTTTTTTTTTTTGCAAAGCTTAGAGATGGGAGATCAAACTGATTTGAACCCTATTGATCAAAGCATATAATAGAACCTAATCACATGGAAATCACAATCAAATTAGCATCTATGTCCAAGAGAAGGTTGGCTAAACGAAAGAGAAGGCTTCGATCCATTGTTTGGGGGTATACTTCGAGTTACATCCTTACGTAAAGGATGGGCGTCAAAGATGCTAGTACTACACTTATGGGATTTCCTACTTGTATGATCGCGAGTTTGGAACTGGTAACATGAATGATCAGTTTAACATATGATTTTTGATGTTATATGTATAAGTTGGCGTCTTTAATGATGTTATATGTATATGTCCAAAGGTTTTCTTCTTTATAGATTATTCAGAAATTATTGTAATGTTGTCATTATATGATCTTTTTTGCCTTCAGAGATGAGTTTTGTTTATGTAGGCTAGGTTTGCATTATATTAACTTAGTGTGAGAATTGTTATTGTACAATTTACTCAAATATATGTATGTGTTTTATTGGTGATATTTTTCAAGTTTGTTTTTTGTTTTTTTACCGTTATGAATAAAGTTAATTAGGTGTAAGGTTTTTTTTTTGCAATTATTTAACACATTATATATTTTTTTTGTTAGTTAAAAAAATAATTTAGATTTAATATTTTAGCCTTATCAATCTTTTATTAGGTAAAAAAATGATTTAAGATGTTTTTATATCTTCTTTAATATTTTATTTTAAATGGATGTTTTATTATATAATTAATCAAGTTTATAAATAATTAAAATTTACTAAACATTTGCTCTAATCAAGCTTTTAAACGAGCCAAGCTCGAGCCAAATTTAACGTTTCCAAGCCTAGCTTGATAAACTGAGCGTGTCGAGCTTGAGTATGCTATGCTCAAGCTCAACTCGACTCATTTGCACTCCCAGTGGCTGCCAGAAAGTTGATGCGAAGATTTATGACAATTTGACGTTTTGAAATTAAAATAAATTTGTAATCATCACCGCAGTTTTTTGAACAGTGGGTTCTTCTATTATAGCTTCACAACCGCTTCTTTAAATGATCGTAGTTGCCCCAAACAGATAATTTGACGTTTTGAAATTAAAATAAATTTGTTATCATCACCGCAGTTTTTTGAACAGTGGTTCTTCTATTATAGCTTCACAGCCGCTTCTTTAAATGATCGTAGTTGCCCCAAACAGACCTTTAGAGAAGTCCTTGAATTTCTTTTTTGGATGGAGTATAATCCCTTTTTTTCCATAGTGAAGAGAGGGGAAGAGGATGATGGTGTTTTCGACAAAAGGTAGAAGATGAAGAGAGAATGGAGAGAGAGAGAGAAGGGGGATCGACCAAAGATTGAACTGGAAGAGAGGAGGGAGAGGGAGGGACGACTAAGGAGAATGAGAGAAATGTATAAGAATGCCACAAAATTTACATAAGCAATACTTTTAAAAATTATTTTTGGTATTCATACAAAAGATATTGAATTTAATAAATTAGATAAAGGAAGAGAGAAAAGTATGCCTTGCTTAGAGAAGTCCTTGATTTTCTTACTTGGACGAAGTATAATCTCTTTTCTTTCCTTGGTAAAGAGAGGGGAAGAGGATGAAGGTTCTTTCTACCAAAGGTGGAAGAGGAAGGGAGGAGGGGGAGGGAGGAGGGGCTCAACCAAAGGTTGTACGACTGAATAGGAATGACGATGATGTGGTTTTCATCCATGATATTGGAGGAATAAACTACGGGAATGGTTATAGATGAAAATTGAGGGAAATTTTTAAAATGTTAGAGGGAATTTCAAAAATAGTAGTAATGACTGAGAAAATAATCTTCTCATTGTATAGAGTACAATTAGAGGGATGTGATGGTGGTGTTGGTTTTGGTCAAGGTGGGCCCTATCTCAAGATATTTTGATTCTAATATGGGTGATTGGAGGCGGTTAGAGCAAAAAATTTGACCTTAGCTCATTTAGCTCAAAAAAATAAGGAGAGCACACTAGTGAAGTTGGTTTAGTCAAAGGTGGGTCCTATCTCAAAATAAATAAAGTCAAAGTGTGGCCCTAACCTCAGGAGAGAAAATTTTGTTAGATTTTCTTATGAAAGTTCTTAATTGATTTCTATTTAATAAATTTAGTATTTATTAGCTCACATTTACTTTGGTTGAAATTTGGTTTGATTTGATTCCATTTTGAATAAATTAACAGGATTATTCTTTTTATTACTGAAATTATCATAGTTTTAATGGCCCCTCCAATGAAGTCCGATTTGAGAAAGGAGGTGTTATTTGAAAGATTTTAATGATCAGGGTAAACTCACGTAGTCTTTTTCGAAAATTAATACTTCATTAAAAAATTTTAACATAGGACTTTTTTTAATGCATGAAAAGCCAAAATAAAAATTACATGAAAAGGGTGTCAGATCATCATCAAACTGGTTTGCATGCTTCTTATATGAGATAATAAACATCATGAAACTTACATAATGAAATTTTTCTCACTATATAAATCCATGGAAAAAATGATAGTTTTGGGGTGATAGGAGGATTGTTCATCAATGAAAACTCAAAGTGAAAAGATTTACATAAAAATTATGTCATATAGTCGTCAAACCCATTTGCATGGTCTTTATATATGATAAGCTTTATGATGATTTGTGGAGAAAATGATAACTTCGATGTGTATTTTGGTTTAAGTTGACTTTTAGTTCAACTTAATGATATAGTTAAAATTGATTATATTTTGTTCCATCTTAGTTTGTTTAATTTCTATTTCTATTCAGTTAAATTTTAGTTTTAGATTAAATTAGGGTTAACTCAAGTTTTAGCTCAAGTAGGGTTCGAATCATAGCTTATCCGAGTTCAACTCAGTCATGTAGTAATACTAAAAAGGGCTCTTATGTCTAGATGAGATTAGATATAAACTAAAGAAAATTATTGACCCAAAAGTAAGGTCGACAAATGAACCCAATATGTGTGGCAAAGTAAGACACATATTGGTGTTGACTAATATGACCAATTAGTCAAAAGTAAGATACATATTGGTGTTGACTAATATGACCAATTAGTCAATGAATAAGAGTATCATTGCTCAGAGTTTGAGTTTTGAATTTTATTTTTTATTGAGTGATTAAAGACTTAAGTTCAAAATTTATGAGCTTTGGAATTTCTTATAGATACAATCCATTAAAGACCTACATTGGGGGTTTGAGCAAATGTTGCTTGAAAGAGTTGAGTTTGAAATATTGGGAAAGGAAACCACTTCAGAACTTGCTCCTAAATTAGAGAAGACAAATGGGACAATCTGATGATGGTACAGTGAAGCACATAATCCTAAGGACTTATGAGTTTGAAATTTAATTGAAGTTTAGGGTGTTCAATGTTCACTAAGATAAGAAATACAAGGACTCATAGTCATCTTAGATTTACCAAGGCAAAACATTGGCCTATTGTGCAATTAGGAGCAACAACATGACCAATGAACCAAAATAGCAAATGTTTAAGATTAATTTATCTAAATATATTATGATGGAAAGCACATAGACTCAGATCCAACCAAAACAGACATAATGACACATGCGGCTAATTCATATATAATTTGCTTAGTTAAGTTTTCCCATAATTTAACTTTTTTACATCCTAACTTCCTTTTGCTGAATGGATACCTATTTAATTTGTTTTTTCTTATCAATGTCCCTCAATCATTAAGATGGAATTAGATAAAGCAAAACATGGAAAGTGGTGCAAACTATATTCCTAATTTTGAAATAAAAATAAGGAGAAGATGGATACTGGGTTAGAGTCTTGGGGATGCAATCCGAGATTACAACAAAGTCCCATTTTATTTTTATTACTTAATTCCTAAACAACATATTGAATTTAGCATATACTATTCTAATATCTCCATGATAATCGATGTCCCCATAAAAAGGTTGGGGGAAAAGGGAAGGTTAATTATAATTTATAACTAATAAATTATAAATATACAGAAATATTGAAAAATATAATTTAGTTGTTTGAGTGGTTTTTATCATCCATCCTCTTTAGCATAGGCCTCAACATAAGAAAGTTAGTTCTGCATTTCATCAATTTGCTTCTAGTTGGAAGATCTTGATGACAATTAAAATTATCATGAGCATATAATTAAGTGCCAACTATTTTTTGCATGCAAGGTACAACATAATATTCTTATTTTATGCTCAATCTATCTTTATTAATTCATTTTTCTTCTTTCTAATATGTTTCCACTAAAAACTTATTTTCTTATTTAAAAGATTTGAAGTCCTCTTCTTTTCTTCTTTTAAAATTTTGTTTGTTTATGATGACAAGCTACTTGTTTATGCTCATTTAGATGAATGTTTCACTTGGTCATTTACCAGTTTGTTTAATTGATAGCTCATTTTTTTAGAGCTCAACAAGATGATCATTCATATTCTTGATAAGGATTGATAAGGCTTATTTAATTATATAATAAAATGAGAACATTTATAAGCTTGATAAAGCTCATTTAGTTATTTAAACTTTAAACATAGTTATAGGCTCAACAACACTCGATAAAGATTATTTGGTTAGATAACATGTAGCTTGATTAAGGCAAGCTCGCATAAACTATCATTTATTGGTCATGAATTAGGTTTTTAATAAGCTCGATTAAGATTCATTTGTTGCAATATGTGAGCTGCTCATTAGCAAGCTTTATAATTCATATATGAATCAAGCTCACATAGAGCTCAAGACAAGCTAAGAAAAATATTGCATAAATGAGCTCGAGCTCGAACATAATTTTAAAAGCTCAAATCATTCGAGTTGAGCTCGGACAAGTTTTTAACAAACAAGTTTGAACAGGCTCTTGCTTGGCTCATTTGCGGGGTAGAAATTAATTTTAATTCAGTCAAATGTGTAAATAACTGCAACAAGAAAGACAAAAAAAATTGATGTACATGTTACTAACTTAGAAGGTTCCAAATGAAATAAGTCCAAATCCAATACTAGAGGAGTTGGTTGTCAAGTTGCTACTAAGAAACCTATGTTTATGTGTGGGAGGTTGCACTGAGATGATTGTTTTATTGGCTCCAACATATGTTATCTATATGGGCAATCGAACTGAGAAGCTACCTCTACACTACTGAAAGATCTGCACCAAATGCTAACTCTAGGAGAGCTCTATCTTAAGCAAGTTTATGCGAGGGATCTAATGATAAAGTAAAGAATATTAAGTATTTGAATTTGTTGCATTGACCAATTAAAATTATCAGTGAAGGTAGAATATATAACTTCGAGTCTATGCCTTGATCAATATGAGCTAAAAGAGCTCATTGATATAACTAATGACGTTCATAAAGTTTGCTAACTCATCTTTGAAGTCAAATTCATATTAATCTATTAATTTACATCAAATACTTTGTTTTATTGAGTTTCATATGCACTTGACATTAATGGGTATGATTAATTGTTTTATTGCTATTGTTAAAATTTATCTTATAATGATACAATCTGGTAAATAGGAAAGGATAGTTCTATAACTAGAAAAAATATGCAAATTTTGAAACGAGGAAAAAATATAAAGACATTTTACTATTAAAATTGAACCTATTAGTTGTCAAGTTAGTTTTACCTATTTATCAAGAGACCGAGTTTAAAAGCTAAGGAGAGTCGAAAAGAGCAACAGAGCAAGAGAAAAGTAAGGAGACTCAAAGATATAGGGTGACATAAAGAGAGTACGAGATTGAGAGAATTTGCAAATGAGATCAATATAGTGAAGCATGATAAAACTTGAGGATGAAGGATGGCATTCAATTAGAATGAAATGTATCAATCCACTTTTCAATAAATAATGTTTCCAACACCAAATGCCAGACTAATCACAACCTCACAACAATAAACAAAAGAGAAATCTTCTCACGTTTCACTTGAGATTCATGATTTATTTTTGGTTTATGAGACAATTAACACAATAAATAAGAAAAAAAATTGATACCATCACCGCCACCTCATGGAAAATTTTTTTCCATTAGTTGTCCTGACGGAGAGCACTGTGCAGACAATGACTGCGATTCTCCCATCACGGCCATGAAAAAAAAGAGCCGCCACAATCAGGTGTATTGCAGCTGTTGTCCGCACGGTGCTTTATGGAAAAAAATTTCTCCACTTTATGATGTTAGCTCATGTATGCGCATGCTATAAAAATATGAAATAAGATTTAAAACAAAAGAATATAAATTTCTTCGGGGCAATAAAAAACAGCTTCATCCATCAACTTCCCCACAAAATTCGGTTTCCAGCTAGCTAATTTATAAAAAAACTTGTCACAATTTGTATCCCCACTACTCAAATTTGTAGCTTCACAATAACCAATCAAATGCCAAAAAAAATCATTGAGAATTTAATAAAAAAGAAAAATATGGGTGATTTTATCATGAATTTTAATATTTGATTGACAATTTTAAAAATAGATGAAAGAGAGTGTTAGATTTATAAATAGCAATGTTTCAGGTCCAACACATGTAAACAGCCATATTTACATCGCCTAAAACTCTTATACCACATCAAAAATATCACTATTTTAGCCTTTAAAAAGTGAAATATACATTTTCAAGTGCGGGTATGATGATACATATGTAAAAATTAAAATACATAGGAATTAAGCAGCATGTAAATATTCCAAAAATTTTTAAAAAAAAGGAGAAATTTACATAAGTAGCATACAACTTTTATGTATTTACATATCTCACCTCTAAACTTTGATATTTACATACATAACTTAAACCTATGCATGAAAAGGTGACACCTTTTTGAAATTGCTGATAGTACTATTTTTGATGTGATATTAAATTCTTGAGAGCTATGTGTGCAAATATATGAAAGTTTACGTGTGAGATATGTAAATACATAGGAATTGTGTTGTATGTATGTAAATGCCCCCAAAAAGAGGGAGAGAGAGGGAGAGAGAGGGAGAGAGAGAGAGGGGGAAGTGTATGAACATCAGAAGCGCACCAACAAAGAAAACAAATCAAAAAATGGGCCTAAACAATGCAAAGCAGCTCAGCCATCCGAATCATTTCCCACTATAAACCTTCAAACCATCCTCAAAAAGATACAAAGATAACAAACAGAAGCCTTTAAAAAGACATCACTATTTTTCCTTTCCCAACTTTCTTTCCACAATTAACATGAAAAACACTTTGCGCTGGATTCCATTGGCTTAGCCTACACACAACAAAAACATTACACTTTACCCCCTAACCCAAAAAAAAAAAGAAAAGAAAAAGCAAAAACAATTAAAAACACCCTTCCTCAACAAAAAGAAGAGAGGGCAACGGCGCAAAAGAAGAAAAAAAGAGAGCTTTTTATAGAAAACACAATGGGACAACGGTCAAATTCCATCAGCTCCTTCCATCCCAGGTAAGGGCCTCCAGCCCAATCACTGAAGTAAAACATTACTCATGGGAATAAGACCCCACCAAAAGAAACAGAAACTTAAATCTGCTATAATATATGGATCTGAAGAGAAGCAGGCTTGCCCAAGCCGGTTAAAATCACCTGAGATTTTCACAATTTGGTCAATACATAACAGTCATTCCTTGGGAATCCTGGCATCTAATGGCTTTGAGGCTGCTGTAACTGCTGCTTCAGTTTTGGGCTGTAGAAATCATTAGAGAAGAGAGGGATGAGGAGAATTTGAATGGTGAGTTTCATTCATGGTATGGAAGTATAAGGAATATAAATAGGAATTTACCATCAATGTGATTGTTGTTTTGGTCCTCCTGTCCTGCATTGCTTTTTGCCTGGTTTCATAAAAGTTGAAGTCATCCAATATGGAAGTCTTCATAGAATAGTTCTTAAAGATGTTCAGCATTTCCGTGCCTTGGGGAAATTTAACCTGAAATATTGGACTTCTTATGTGAGATAACAAGTTCAAGGGCAGGAGTTTATATGCACAAAAACCAAAGCTAAACTTGAGAATATTATTAACAACAAGGGAATATCAACAAAAATGTATGGAGTTGTCAAATAATCAATAAATTTTGTCGGGTACAGGCACTTGTTATTCTAGGACGTGTGAGATAGCGGGCTCGCTGCATACTTTTGCAGGCATCTGCAATATTTGTGTCAAATTTCACTAAAAATAAAAAGAAAAAAAAATACTTAAAAATGATCCTTGGCGAAGCTACACCAAAGGCAGAAAGATAACAAGCCAGGCCAATCAACTTGAGAACATGTGAAAAAAACTAAATTATGTCATGTAAAACAAGGCAACGTGACGATCAAATCCCTAAAGTTTTGTTCTATAGATTCTAAACATCACAATGCAAGCACAAAAAGTTGGATATTGACAACAAATTAAACTATATTTATAAAATAAAACATGACTCCTGTCCCAGTGGAACAGCAGCAAAAGAGCTTTTGAAAGCAAGCAACTATTTTTAATTATCACAAATAAATAAATAGAAAAAAAAAACTCTTTGCAATTATCACATAAGAAAAAGAAGTACAGCAAATTAAGAAATAAAAACAATCAAGCAATGGAATAGGATAACATTATACAATTCCAATAAAAATGAAAAGGAAAAAAAAGAAAAAAAAAAGAAAAAAAAGAAAAAATGTCCGAACCCAACACAAAGGCAAAATCAATGAGTGAAATCAGTTCAATCTTGCATTTCAAGGGAACCAAGATAAAACCATACCTCTTGTGTATCTCTGCTATTTGTCACAGGTTTGTTGTCATTATTCTCCAAAATTATATGACGGAATTGTGCATTTGGAATGTCTTTGATTATATGCCACTTGACTGGAAAGTAACCATTCCACTTGTCTTGTTGCCAAAAATTCATGCTCTTGTTAAAATCTACCTGACCAATCATCTCTGCAACACCACAGAATTGCCCACTTGCATTCACCTGAACAACACACAGAATCATACTAGCTTAGAAAAAAGAGTAAGTTATATGAGGAAACTGCTTTATTTTAAGATGAATTTAGAGAACTTTATCATGAAACAAAGGTTGATGGAAAAAAAAAAGTTTAATCAATGTAGAAATTTAAGTGTATTACGACTTCGAAAAAAAAATCAGGAAAATAAACTCTCTGATAAGAGCAGAAGCGCACAAGGTTTATTGTAGCAAAATCAGAACCAACTATTAATATAATTTGCACATTATTTCTATAAAATTAGTTTTACTCAGAGGCTACAAGCACTTACAGAAAAGAATAACAAAACCGGGCACTTGCATCCTTTTTCAGCCGCTTTCTGCTGCGCAGCTTGATATGCATTCTCGAGTCTCTTGTTTCCATTTGGAGTGCTCGCCCAGACATTATACTTTATGCTCTTATGAATATCATCTTCACTGTAGGATTTTATAACAAAAAAGATAGCTTGATCATAGTTTGTGGTGAAATCTGGGAGGTTGTAGTCTTCCTTTTTTATAGAGGCCACCAGTGTGCCATTGCTGTCATTAACCTCAGAACCAGCGGTTGAATCATAACCAGAAATCCAAGCACCCTGGCTGCCAGTAGTTCTCGGGCCACGGTTCTGTTCATTTAGCATATCAAAATCAGCAGTCCCAGGAGTTTGATTTGTTTTTATCTGCTTTTCAGACCCAATCCATGCTTTATTAGTTGTCTTGGCATTGCTAGTCATATTTGGAATAAGCAAACTATTTTTCTCCGGGCTAGGATATGAATTAAAATTGTTTGCCTGGGCATAACCTTTGGAGACTTCATTATTTCCCTAAAATCATGTTTCAGGAATCATTAATTAGTAGCAATGGCAGTATTAATGAAAAAATACATAGTAAAGTGCCAAAATAATCTCTGACTATTAACAAGAGGTCATTTTAGTCCAAATACATATAAAAGTACTAAATTAGTACCAAGCCGCTTTTAATAAGGGCTAAAATAGCTCTCATTGGGGCATAGTTTATATAATATTAAAAGAGTTTGAAAACTAAATTGATATTTTTATAAACTCCGAGACTAAAATTACCCCTTCAAAAAGTCGAGGGGAACCATGTTGACACTTTTCTCTCTCTCGCCATGTATATGATCAGGAATAACCTGTATTACCTTGGGCTTAAGAGTCTGGTTCTGCATAGCAGAATTCCGTGATGCATCCAATGCAGCAGCTGCTCCTTGCTTGCTTAAAGCAGCAGATAGTGGGCTTACTGAAGCCTTAGGAGGAATTACTGCATGATTCTGAGACGAATAACTAGGATTTGGGTAAGGTGTTGTTGGATCTCTACCAGAATCCCATACATACGCTGGAAAATGTTCTGGTGGATAAGCAACCGACTGAGCAATATAGCCTGAAGAAACCAGAGGCTGATGAAATATAGGGCTCGGTTGATAGAGATGTTGAGTAAAATATTGTCCATCACCAACAACTGGAGACACTGGAGTATAAAAAGAATATCCAGCATGAAATCCAGGAAAGTCCAACAACTGGAGACACTGGACTATAAAAAGAATATCCAGCATGAAATCCAGGAAAGTAGTATACCAATGATTCATTTTCTGGCTCAGTGGCCTGAAATAACAAATGTAAATGAGTGAGATCCTAAAATAATTAAAAGAAGGAAATGCAGGAGAGCGCTTGCTTAGGCAATTAAAAGTAATATAAGTTTGAACTTTTGAGAGCCTGTTTTAAAGTTAATTAAGCTTGAAGTTAGAAGTTATGCTTTGAAAAAAAAATAAATTCTATTAATCCATTGTTTAATTAGATGTAATTAGACATTAACATTGATTTTGAAGACTAAACTCCTTAAAATACCTTCAAAATGATGATTCCAATTTCCGCTAAAAAATGAGTGAAAAAAAAAATCATCATTTTCTAAAACATGTTTTCTATTAACAAACAACCATATGAGCCCTAAGTGCAAAGATTAAATATTAACTTCCATAGCATATTCCAATGCTTGAATAAACATATGCCTAAGTAGATCGAAAGTCATAGAAATTTGCAATAAAATGATAAAGAAATAAAAATGACCTTGAAAAAACTGGTACACATAAGATTAAAACCACTATATCTAGTGACTTACTGAATGTTGAATTTCTGATCCATCAGTTCCAAAAAAGTACCCATTGTTATCCCAATCACCCATTGAGCCATCAAATCCTGCAAACAATCAGATGCCGCCAGTGAAGAAAATAAATTAAATTTATTTTAGGAAAATATTGAACTAGCAAGAAAATCTTCTACAGAATGATAGAAAACTTGAAAATTTATAATAAGCAGTAACAAGAGAAACAGACACATAGCTCCTACAGACCTGGGTAATAGTAGCCATAGAATCCATTCAAAGGATAATACATAATTTGATCGGCCATGGGAGCCTCTTGATCCACCTCACTCCCTTTGATGCTGCTAGTTGCGTCCCCAGATGAGATGCACGACATTGCATCAAATGAGCTCCCATCTTTTGGTCCATGCTAAAGTAATCATGGGCAAAGTAATCAAACAGAGAGATAAACCAAAATTACAGGTAATAATCAAAATGGATTAGCAAATCACTTAGCACTAAACAGAGGCGCATTGTACAAAAAGGTGGAGAAAAAGGTTCAAAATTACCATATTTTCATCACTCCCTTTAGAAGCCACTCCTATTTTTAGTTCTTTCATAGACCTTTCTAATGCTGCACCAACATAGAAAACAAAATAACCCAATAAGCAATTAATAGAAGAGAGGAAGAAGATCACAGTCCAAAGAGCTCATTCCTTGGATGCAAAGAAAATGTGATTATATAATAGAAATTCTAAAAAAGGTACATCTCTATTTTAATGAACCTAATGCTAGTACAATCATGCTTATACAAAGAACAATAAGAAAATAATAAAGGACAGTATCCTCCATTATTAGAAATATATTAGAATAATAAAATGCAAAAGATTCTAATAGATATTAAGGACATGTGATGATGCCCATATGCTTAACTAATAATTCTAATACTCTAACACACACCTATATAGTCAAGTTATTACAACAAGGAGCATCAAGATCTTGTATGGCATGGCACAAAAAGATTCAAGAGATCCAAGCCAAGGGCTATTTAATGGCTTTTCAAACTTGTCAATTTAAGCCAATCAACAATAAAATGAAGCATTCTTGAGAAAAAAAAATAGGAATCAAGGGATTGAAAACAGGCCAACTTTTGTTGAGAATTGAGGTAGCAGAATCATAATGAAAAATAAAATAATCATCAGATCTTTACATGGTCCCCACAGGATCATCAAATAGGAAATTAAGATGAATCATAGCGTGTCAAATCAAGACGAGAGACGTGATTATCACCACATAAATGATTAAGATCAGCTTAGACTTGGAAATAGGCTCTTACCATGATAAAAATTATATTAAAATTACATCTTTATTTTGAAGAACCTAATGCACATACAAATATGACTATATAAAGACATAAGAAGCAAAAATAGATGCACAATAAAAAAATATCCTCCATAATTAGAATATATTATAATAATTAATATTATATATTTTAATAAAGATCAAGCAAATGTGATAAATTAATATAGTAATTTAGTCATTCTAATAACTTTAATAGGTCGTTTGGTAGGCAGATTTAAGCCTGATTTAGCTAGCGTAAATCCTGCCTAACAGTCCCAATAAAAAATTTAAATCCTAAGAAAACTTAAATTCCATTTTTACTCTGTTACTGAGAGTTTGGTGAATTTAGCAAATATGGTGAATTTAAATGTATGAAGGAGAAAGACAAGGGAACCTATGTGCTTCGCCTCGTCCCAATTCCTCGTTTCTTATTTCACAAGGTTTGGGTATGGGTGGGGAGTAGAAGAAAGGCAAAGTTATCTAATACACCGCCCCTCAAGACACTCTCCTCCTTCATAAGCTGCAAACCGGTCGATGCCTTACCAGCAAATCACAACATCTGGCTTCCTTTAAATAAGGTTATTAGAGACTGCGTGTTGGTTTCATAATTGAGAGAAATTAAATTAATAATAGATATTAATTAATTAAAATATGTGATTCAATTTGGTTAAATAAATAATTTTATTTTTAATTAAATTTTAGAGCAATTAAAATTTATTAAAATTTTATTCGGTAAAACTATCAATATTAAATAGACTAAATTAGATATAGATATATCAAGTAAGGACTTAAATGAACCTTACCAATTAATATTAGCTTACTGATATTCCTTTTGTTTAATAAACGCAATAAATTACTTATTTATAATTAATTGAGATATTATATTATATTATGCAAGCTAATGAATAGTGAAGTATTAATTAATAAGCTTAGTGAATTATTAATTAATGATTAATGCAAGAAAATAAAAAAAATAAATCAATTTAAATTAGGCTTAAACATGGTATCATCCTTAATTAATACTAAATGCAAAAAATAAGTACCCAAATAGCAACTGGATTTATCAATAAGTATGGATTTAGAGTGTCTACTAAATCCTACATGAGCTAAGCAAAACAGCCCGAAACAGTGTACAAGAAACAGAATAAACCAGTGTCAAAATCCATGATATCATCAAAATAGAGCAAGCCGTTCCGGATTTCTTAAGTTCCACTGCGAAATAACTACAAGAAGTTATAAAGATATTCAACAAAACCAGATCACTTAAAATTCAACTAAATCAAAGAAAAGCTGCCATTCCTTATACAGATTAAATTAGGGTAGGCAAATCAAAAACTGTAAAATAAAAAGAACAGGATTAATCATACAGATCTACGGACTTCCCAACATGAAATACACCAATGAATACAAAAACAAGCTGAATAAATCACATCTACATACAAAAATCAAATTTTTTCTACAAAAAACACTCAAAAATAACTTTTTTTTGAAGTGAAAAGATAAAGCTCGGGAAAAAGAAAACTAGTAATCAAAAGTCATACACTTAGAAAAGACCATTCAATAAGCTTCAGGACCATAGTATATCCCATCAGAATCGATAAGGTGATGAGCTACTAAAAATAAAAATTTATACTAGCAATCTCCAAAAATGCAACACAAAGTTGGCTTTTAGCGTAAATTTTCAGAAGAACGAAAATTCCGAACACCCCAACAAAACTCCATACGCTGTTCAGCAACAGAATATCGAAGACACGCGATTTCTTCATTTAGAAAAACCGAAGTAGAACATGTTCCTACTCTAAAAAGAGAAATATGAATTCACCAAATCAATCACTCATATGTCGCTATCGACCAACAATTTGAGCTCCAAAGAGAGAAACAATAACCATCAAGAACGAAGCGAAACCATTAAACCAGCAACAGGAAGGAAACCATACACTTCTTCGACTTGTCCTCCGATCCCATGACGCCCGACCAGAGCTCCCCGCAAAAGAACCCTAAGACCACTCTTCCCACCAGTTCAAAGGCAGAAAAAGAAATCCAGATATCGATACGTGAAGGTGGGAATATCGTATCGAGCACCGCTACCGACGAGTGAATCGGGGATGGCAGAGGATGGGGAAGCAGAGAGATACCAGCTAAAAGAAGTGGAGATGGGGACGAAGGAACCGAACCGACGGCTGAAGAATCGACACGTCAGAAGATCCCACGGCAAGCGAGTCCGCCGGGCAGCTGTTTGATGTCCGTCCGATATTTCCGAGATTCTGTCGTGGTGGAGGGTGAGAGGCCAAAAACTGGAATAGCGTTATTCCAGTCTTATCATCTAAATAAACTACACCCTATCTCTCAATAATCTTATCATAACCAATAACAGTTGGTGGGTGTGTGTGTGTCAATATATATATATATATATATATATATATATATATACACACACACGAAAATATTATTATTGTATAGAGACGTGGATGGCGAAAGGTGTGCCAATTAAATGGCTTTTAATGTACTGATGGGTGATTGAGAAATTGTCCGACGAAAATTCAGAGAATTATATAATTTTTAATCATACAATCAATTGATTTCAACAATCTTATTGTTAGATTCAATAATTAAATGAGAAATCTAATGACACTTTAAGCAAGATTAATTTGAGTCTAAATGCGCCTAGATTGATCACTTGAAACATAATAGAAGCTTCAAGGCATTAATTGAAATGCTAATCAATATATGACTTTGACATTGAAATCAAAGCGAAAGAAGAATTCAACAAGCCTAAAATTATTCAATTCAAATGTTATTAAGACACTTAATTACTTAAAGAATGATCTATGATTTAAAAAATTTATATGAATCCTGCCAAAGAGTGATTTAGGGTTTTAGCTAATTTAATAATATGCTCCTCCCAAAATTTTATAAACATGATATTATTTTCAATTTGATTAAAAAAAGAAGCTATGAGATACACTTCTAAAGTAAGCATGAAAGTGACGACCACTACACTCATAATTGACCAGTGCTAATAGTTGTTGTGGCTCAATTACTTCATACAACTTTTGTGACATGTTTATTATTTTCAGGATGTTATTGTTTGATAATTATAACTCAGTTAATGTTGTTATTTGTCAACCTTTATAGCAAGCAAGTGTTCATAATTTTGTAACATCAACTTTTCCGATTAATAAAAAGAGCGGCAAATACATAGTAGATTATTATGACTGGATTAGGCCTCATAATTTTTTTCTGTTTTGTATTTTTTTAATATAAAATTTTTGGTTTCATCTATACTTTTTATCATTATCTATCTGTAGGGGATTTTTGTGCAAAGCTAAGATGTAAAATATTTCCTAAAATATCATAAAAATTTACTAGCACATAATTGTTTGGTACAGTGAAATACTTTCCTAGCATTTTACAAACATTTGCACAATTGCCAACATTCATACAACCTATGCCAATGGATCTTTTTACTCAAATACTCTTCAATCTAAAAATCAAACTTTTAACCAAAAGCATTGTAACCGAGTTGGTAAAAACCCTACAAAGTTTATCATTGGTAGATTATATATATAACATGAACGAAACCTGTTCTCAAAACCTTCAATTCTTGAAAGAGGTTAGCCAATAAGGAGTAGCATCATAATATAATAATGTTCATCTATCATAAAATTAATGAATTGTTGTTAATTAGTATGAGGATGTGAGGTATCCTGACCATCATATTAAATTTCCTCCTCAACAACAACTTAACTCAAAACTAGTTTATAGTGTTAATTCAGCCTGTCCTTCTCATGTTGTTCAGTCGATTCACAACTCTACACTAGCTTTAATTATGCTAACCTTGTCTCATTTCATGGTTACTTCTCATAACAGTATATAAGATAAATTACAATAGTTTTTTCAAGAAAATAAATTTGTTTAGAGATAGACATTAGTATATTTCTTGATGTAGCTTTCAAGCGTCTTTTACCAGTAAATGATACAATCTCCTAACATCTCATTCTAACAATTCAAGCTATTTACTATTAGCTCTTATGATGTGGCATCTAACTCTTAATAATATAATGACTATTATAAGATTATTATGACATTCAATGAGCATCTAATGCCCTCCATTGTCAAGTCTTTTTTCAATCTTTAATGGCCAAGTTAGAAATTAATTTTACTTCTTCTAGAAGAAACCATCCATACCTTTGGCGAAGTAGCTACTCTTTGTGGAGTAATTATTATGAATTAAAAATTTGTTAAAGTCTCTTCTAAGCAATGAAGGTAAGTTATTTATTGTATATTTTTTGAGATTTTTTTTTCAAGGCATGTAAAATTTTAGGAGTATATCTTTAGTTATTACAAAATTTTTTTCTTGAAGGGCTCCATGCTAGGTCTTTTTACTCATTGCTATTAAGAAATATAGTTTGCTCATATATTGATCTCATTCACTAAAAAGAAAAAAAATCAAACTAGATGAGAAAATTAATGCATAATAAAACTTATTTGAATAATATTCTAAAATTATATAAGAATATTCTTAACAGTGTTATATAAACTTATTAACAAAAAAAAGATAAAAAAGAATCATCCTTCTCATCCTTCTGACGACAATCAATTTGAGTTGATTAATTACACTCCATTATACACATCTATAGTTAATATTTTAATAAAATAAAAAATTCTAAACATCTCAAGTGTTTAAGACCATTGAGATATGAAAGTTGTAGATATCGATACAATTGTATTATTATTTACAAAAATATCAAATTTGACAAGCTAAAAATAGAGGAGATAATAAGAGTCATAATAACTAAGTTTTCTTATAATTATTAATTAGGGAGTTCCTTCATAATTTATTTGCTTTCATACATAAGAAGGCCCCATCACTAAAGTAATTTCTCATTAGAATAATTGAGAGAGTTTATCTAAAACTAAAATTTTATATATTTCAAGTAAAGTTTTATTATCAATAAAATGTATCATATATAAATAATATTGCACCTTATAAATCCTTAAAAGGCACATGCATGGACAATTTTTATGGGAAGTTGGTAGTGGCAAAGACTTATCTAAGACTTCCTTATGAGTGTAAATAATAGATTGGGTTTTTACTCATACTCCTAGACTAAACTTATGAGAAAGCATTTATAGAAATATATAAATAAATATGGTCTCCACTAAAACTCTCTAAAATAAATAGCTGATAGTAGCTCCACACATTTAAAAAACTTAAAAGACACAAGTACACTAAAAACTTTAAGAGAATATAAGAAAATATTAAGCCTCAAAAGGTATAGACATACAATAAAATTTTAGAAAGATAAAATTCTAAGTGAGTACATGTGCACAAAAAAATCTAAGAAATCTAAAAGCCTAAAAAATAAATGTACATTCATAAATCTAAAAAAAATAATCATACATTTAAAATCTTAAAAGGTACGTTAACATTGAAAAATCTTAAGAGATCTATGTACATTTAAAAATAATATAAGAAGATTGAAAATCTTAGAAAGTATGTGAAAATAATATAAGAAGATTGAAAATCTTATAATATAAGAAGATTGAAAATCTTAGAAAGTATGTGTACATCTCAATAATCTCTGAAGGTATAAGTTTTAGAAGCTATATGCACTCCTAAAAGATTTTTGAAGGCATAAGTCTATGGAGGTGCAAGTAAATTTTGACTACATTTTTAAAGTTATATGATTTTAATTCAGTGAAAAAGCTATGAGTGGATAAGCCTCAAAAGGGATCAAATTCATCATACTTTTATGAGGGAGGGGCAATATCTCAATTACGTTATATTAAATTTCTAATTAATATTTATGATTTAATGACATAAAAATAACTTTGTCTCCATTGTTAAGAGATTACTAAAAAGTTTAAGTGTTCTTTAATTATCGATATTATATTTAATAATATTATTATGAAATTTAGTCAAATTCTTGGTTTCATGGACTATAGAAATAAAAATTCTTATTTTTAAGTAATATATAGAATAATTTGATCTACATGAGCGTATAACACTCCACATCAATATCATTAGAAGTTTGAATGTCCTATATGACATTCAAACTCCATCTTAGCTTTCCTCAAAGGATTCTTCTTAAAATTTGTAGCAAGGATAAAAAATATATCTTGATCATAATTCATTTGAAAAATTTTAATGAAATCAAAATCGTTGCTATTACTTAGCACTATAAACACTGGTTCTAGTCTATTCACTTCGGAATTCATTAACATTAACATAAATATTAAGCTAAAAATATGTTTGTTCAAAGAGGATTAAAACCTCTTATAAGGAATGACTCGAGGCTTTGTATAAAATTTATGGCTTTTTAAACACCTCCAAACTCAGCCTATAAGGTCAGAAAACACATAGTTCAAGAAAGATCGAACATCATTATAGAAATTATGAGCTTTGATCATCTCCAAACCTAAGCCATAAGACAAATACATCCAACACCTCTTTTAAAGAAAGACTAAGGATTCTTTGTAAGATTTAAGATATCTTAATTGCCTCCAAATCAAGTTCATCTATAAAAACACCATGTGCTTTTAGTATTGAGGCAATAATATTTCTCATAGAAATGAAAATATTTAATACTTAAAAAAAGGAGTTGGAGCTTGAGAAGGAAAAGGAGAAATCCCAAATGTCCTATAAATTTTCTTCAGACCTTCATCTCATATTGAATGAAACTCTATTTGTCTTAAAATATCAAATGAAGAATTACCAGTCCTGAATGTTGCTAAGATCACTCTCAAACTCATTTTGTATTATACAATTTAGTACTTATAATTGATGAGCATTAGAGCCTAAAAGAAATATAGGCATTGCCCAACTTGGACAATTTTAAGCATATATATAAGAAAAATTAAAGTATGCAATGGGAAGATCACCTATAATGAACAATGGACAATTTTTCTTATAAAATATATATTAAAACTTACAAAGCAAAGAGAGTGATTTTTTCCTCATTCATGTAGGTATTTATAGGATAAGGAGTTATAACTGTTTTGATTTTTTTTTTTTCAATATTTTGAAATATTATGTGAAAATTTAGCAATTCCTTAGGTATTAAATATCATAAGCAAATGAAATTTTTTTATTTTTAATTTAAAACATAAAATTATTGTAGTAATCATCTAATGGATGACTACTCATGTATGCTTGGACCCGCACACATAATAGTGCACATGCGATTTTGGCTACTCGCCTGCATTCATGTCATGTATGTGGCTTAAAATATAGTGTATCTAAATGGACATGCTATACAAGTAACACAAGATAATTATTCTCATATGGAATACAATTGAAGAATTTAATAGGCTAATTACTAATTTTATTCAATAATTTCAAAAAAATC